ACCCACGACCTGCCATGACTGATTTTCTTCCGTCTTCTTTTTGGCAGGGAATGTGGGCTCTGGAAGAGACTCAACCGAGTCTTTTTGAACACTGCTGCTGGCCAGAGGCAGGCCCTATTACAGGCGCCGCGGAACAGGAACAGCACGAGTGGGATCGGAGCGGGACTCCAGACGCCTTATTCGCTGACCAGGAAGGGGCAAGGTGACCAATCAGAACATGGTTTCCTCCCCGTCATGATGACCGGGTTATTTTTTCCCGCCTATCTCCAAGCTGTTGGGAATGAAGGCATTAATGAAAACCTCCGCTTACCCGTTTCATATTCTCAAGTAACACTCACTGACCATACTGCATTAGATATGCCCCTAATTGATCCCCGACAATATAGTCAGTGATCTCATATACGACCACCTTGGTCCTTCACCGTCCTCGGTATTCTGTGCGCATGTCTTTTGTGATTAAATCACGAGACGTTATCTCCGCACAGTCCTCTGGCGTGGGCAACAGCATGTCCCACATGAAACAACCTAGACTTTTAATTATTGTTGACGTTTAATCCCTTAGGTATTCAGTTCTTTGCAACACTGTGCCTTTTGTGCAACGATAAATTTTACGCGTGAGCATGTCGAGCACACAGACTGACACTGTTTTTTTTTTTTTTTTTTTGCACTCTTGTACATCGAGATATACCAAAAGCCCACCATCGGTAACCGGATGGACGTTCTGTTTGGCTATCTCCGCTAAATTGACTCGGCATTTCGGTGGGGGGAAGACTCCAGCAGAGGCTGTTTCTACCGCTTCTACACCGCTGACTTCGACCGCCGCCATGTTAGTACTCTTTTCTTTTTTAAGTTCTTTTTTTAGGCTTGGTGTGGATAACTTATCCTTTCCCTTATAGTGACCACCTTTACAGGATTTTTTCTTTTATTTTGTTGGGGAGGGAGGAGAATAGCTTCCTTTTCTGGTAGATCTGCTATAGTGGCAGATCCAAATAAATTTTTGATGGTACAACTATGGTCGGCCATATTGCGATATTTTTCTTCCACCCCCACCCCCAAAAACTTCTTTTTTTTCCTCAGGCCACAAAGTTCAAAGGAGAAAACACAAACGAAAATAAAATGCAGAACAAATACAAAATTTTTAAAAATCAAACAGGGGCAGGAAGAGATCCTTCCCTGCCCCCCACCCCATTAGAATGTCTGATAGTCAACTTCTTGAGAGCAACTCCCTGCGTCTGCTCGGTCTCACGTTGACTGCTGACCTGAGATGGAACAAATACATTGAGTCAATTGCTTCTTCCACCGCGAGGAAAGTTGGCTCTCTGTGCCGCGCCAGGAAATTTTTCTCCCCGAAATCGATATTTCAAATATACAAATCAACCATTCGCCCTTGCATGGAGTATTGCTGCCATATATGGTCTGGGGCACCTTCTGTTTACTTCGGAGTTCTTGACAAGATCCAGAGACGGATATGTAATATAATTGGCCCTGATCTGGCGTCTCGTTTACAGTCACTCTCTCACAGACGCGCCGTCGCCTCTCTCTGTCTTTTCTACAAATACGTTCATGGTAATTGCATCGATGAGCTGCTTTCACTGGTTCCCAGACTCCATGAATTCAAGCGCCCTACGATTCTGGCATCTCGCTCCCACCCTTTCACTGTAGAAATTTTTAAATGTAGCCGTCTCTTCTACTCCAATAGCTTCATATCTCGCACCTCTCGCCTGTGGAACACCCTTCGCAATTATTGTTTCCCTGAGAGCTATAATCTCCAACTATCCAAATGTAATGTCAATCGACATCCCCAGTTACCTTGATCTACCCACTATCCTTCTCCTCATCCTTTTTTCTATCACTCCTATCTGCTCTCGCTCCAAATCTTCTGCAACCCTCTGCATCTTAGTGGCTTCACGCCTTGCTCGGGGCGTAATGCTTAAAAAAAAAAAAAAAAAAGGTAGAAAAAAAAGTCCGACGTAAAAAAAATGAATACTAAAATAAAAACAAACTATAATGTAAAAACAAAAATTAAAACAAATTCGGCAGAATCTGAAGTAACAAAATTAACAAAACTGAAAATGAAAAATATAACAAAGAAAAAGGACACAAACTTTGACAAAAAAAAATTTAAAAACTTAACAGAAAAATTTCAAAAAAGGGCCTCCTAAGGTCAAACGCTTGTCTGGCAAGAGAAAAACTACAGAAACCTGCGTCAGCAGTCCTCCGTAATCATATTTACCTGAGACCTCCCCAGAAGGCGGGATGTAACACAAGGCCGTGTTTTTATGTGAGGTATTCCGAGCATGTAGGCTTGGGAAAACATTGCCTGTAGACCCCGTATACACAAAGTCCGGTAGCTGTCTATCTCCCCAGACGAGACTCTGCCATTTGGCAAAGCCTCGTCTGGGTTTCTCTCTCTCCGGAGGCAGAGAGTCGAAAAACTTGTATGTATTATATTTTTTTTGGGGGGGGAGTTACGGAGAGAAAAAATGTACAATCTCTTATCCTGAGTAACATAAAGGGAGCAGTGTGAAATCTAAAAGAAATTTATATTTATTAAATGACATCAAAAATAATAGCACAGAATAAAAAAAATAATATTACAAAATAATCAGGCATAAAATTTTCCTTTGTGCACCTAACACTTAGGCAAGATAACAAATACTAATTAAAATACGGTTTTTCAACGTAATATCGCTTTAAGCTTTTAAGAGGTATGTGAGGCCATCCATTAAGAAAGTTGTTACATATAAACTACAAACATTTATCTATATCCGACCCAAATAAATGCTTATAGACTAAAATGTAAACTATTAATATTTACCTATCATATTTTATTTAGTGCCTTTTGTGCAACTGATCTAATGGACTTTATTTAGTGCAACTGATTTAATAGACTTTATTTTGTGCATTTTGGGCAACTGATTTAATAGACTTTATTTTGTGCATTTTGGGCAACTGATTTAATAGACTTTATTTGTGCATTTTGGGCAACTGATTTAATACACATTATTTTGTGCATTTTGGGCAACTGATTTAATAGACTTTATTTTGTGCATTTTAGGCAACTGATTTAATAGACTTTATTTTGTGCATTTTGGGCAACTGATTTAATGCACATTATTTTGTGCATTTTGGGCAACTGATTTAATAGACTTTATTTTGTGCATTTTAGGCAACTGATTTAATAGACTTTATTTTGTGCATTTTGGGCAATTGATTTAATACCTCTATTTTTTGCATTTTGGGCAACTGATTTAATAGACTTTATTTTGTGCATTTTGGGCAACTTTTATTTTATGCATTTTGGGAAACTGATTTAATACACTCTATTTTGTGCATTTTGGGCAACTGATTTAATAGACTTTATTTTGTGCATTTTGGGCAACTGATTTAATAGACTTTATTTTGTGCATTTTGGGCAACTGATTTAATACACTCTATTTTGTGCATTTTGGGCAACTGATTTAATACACATTATTTTGTGCATTTTGGGCAACTGATTTAATAGACTTTATTTTGTGCATTTTGGGCAACTGATTTAATACACTCTATTCTGTGCATTTTGGGCAACTGATTTAATACACATTATTTTGGGCAACTGATTTAATAGACTTTATTTTGTGCATTTTGGGCAACTAATTTAATACACTCTATTTTGTGCATTTTGGGCAACTGATTTAATACACATTATTTTGTGCATTTTGGGCAAGTGATTTAATAGACTTTATTTTGTGCATTTTAGGCAACTGATTTAATACACTTTATTAACTAGCTCAATTTGGTTCAGTAGACAAGAATGTGGGTGCAAAACATTTAAAGAGAAAGGAAATTCTGATGTCACTTCTCATAAATTCTGAAGCCTGTGTCTTCTGACGGTATTGGTTGATTCGTAGATTAATAAATACTTATAAATGACCAATTTTCTACATACAACGATACCCTGCCTTCATCAGCCGCAAACCAGGAGGGTAACATACTTTCAGAGGCTAAGGCGGTACTGCCACCCTTGGCGCCACCAGCAGCTTTTACCACCGGACAGTGTATTGTTTTTCGGTGTAGACGTGTCAGACTGCAATTTTTATGCGACTGCAAGTCAGTTTTTCTAAAGTTGTGCTCAATAAAAGTTTTTTGCTTTGACAGTTTAAGTAACTTCGAACCAAGTAATTACCTATAAACTCAAATCTAAACGTTTAGTATTTACTTTTTTTTCTTTTTTTAAGCAAATTACCCCCAAGCAAGGCGGAAATGCCACTAGCACGCAAGGGATTACAGAGAGTGAGTGTAAGAGTAAAGAGGAGTTTTTTTGGAAAAGGATAAAGAGAAGATCATGGTCAAGTCATCAGAAGATGTCAATTGACATTACATTTGAATATTTGAAGATTATATCTATCAGGGAAGCAAGTTATAGGAAGGGAGTTCTATGAGGGGAAGTACGAGATAAGAAGCTGTTGGAGTAGAAGAGACGGCTACATTTAATCGTTTCAGCAGTGTAAGGGTGAGACCAAGATGCCAACCAAGCAGTACGTTTAAATTCATGCAGTTTTGGAACCAGTGAAAGTAGCTCGTCGTAGAAAAGACAGAGGGAAGCCACAGCACGTCTGTGAGAAAGTGACTGTAGATGGGATGCTAGATCAAGACCAATCACGTTGCATATTCGTCTCTGGATGTTGTTGAAGACCTCGAGATGAACAGCAGGAGCACCAGACCATATAAGGTAGCAGTAATCCATATAAGGACGAATTGTTCATTTGTAGATTTGAAAAAAGGACTCTGGCGGGAGAAATTTTCTGGCGCGACACAGAGAACCAACTTTCTTTGCGGTAAATGAAGCTATTGACTCAATATAGTTGTCCCACTTCAGGTCAATGGACAGCGTAAGATCAAGCAGGTGCAGAGAGACTCTCTCGTAGAGTTGGGCATGGGCCATCCTCATGTGAGGCAGAGGGTTCTCTATGGTGGGTAAATGAGAGCAGTTTCGTTTTAGAGGCATTAAATCAAATAAATGGTATTCCCAAGCGGTCACCTATTTAGGTACTAATCAGGCTCGATATTGCTTAACTTCAGCAAACGTACGGGAACCGGTTATCCAACATGATATGGCCGTCAGTCTCCGCTTCTTTAGTAACAGAAGAAATGTTCAAAAGATGTTTCATATACAACAGTAAAATCTGATATTTTTAAAGAGTATATCCAAGAATAATGTCATTTTTTTTAAATAAATTGAGCAAAAGAGCATTTTTTTTTTATTATAGTTAAAAAAAAAGAAGCAATATCTGTTTCATTTCAGATACCGCTAGAAGACATAAGCGTCAGGATTTATGAGAAGTGACATTAGAATTTCCTTTCTCTTTAAATGTTTTTCACCCACATTCTTATCTACTAAAACCAAAAGAATGCCTTTTCCTAAAATAAAATTAGCATTAAGAATTGAGCTTTAAAATGGTGGGCATTTGCCAGATGTAATTCTACGTGGTTTAAATACAGTCACTTAATCGGATGGTTTTAGTTTCTTACGTTCTTTACACGTCGGCGATTGTTCTCGACTTTCGGCCGTTGCATCCTGCGACCATCATCAGGTTCGGTCCTTCTACACTCCTATCGTCAGGCAGGTTAGTCTTAAAGCTCTCTGAGCTATCCACTCAAAATTGTTCAACGGTATAACAGTCTAGTGGATTGGTTCGTGAATTTCGTGACAGTTGTGAGTTCAATACCTGGGTCGGGTAGTATAGACTTAGGACGAGCAATACAAAATAAGAACAAGACGTAGGCAGCGGAAGAGAACAATCTTTCACCGGAGGTTGAATAAAGGGTTCAATTCGAAATTAATCGAAGGTTATCCGGCTCGACAAGCACCTAATGAAGGTCAAGAAGCACAATGGCGGAAATATCCCACATGTAATTAAATCTAAATTATGATAACTCCTCATTAAAGAAATTCAAACAGCGAAAAATACATACAATTAAACAAATTGTAATTCTGTGTGTTTATTTATTATTTAAGTTCATTTGTTTTCGACAAAAACTACTGACTTTTTTTACTCTTATTTAAAAGTTGATTTATGAAAGTTGATGATAGCACGGACATTTAAAAATATGAAAGGAATAAAGAAAGAAAAATTGCGTTTTATACGAGAAGTCTTGAAGTGAATAGCTAGGAGAATTTGTTCATATTATGTAAGCCGTAGTTACCAAAATGCCCTTGCAAATTGCGTATTATATATCAACAAATTGGTTTGCATGAGAAAATTATACGGGCAAAAATCATTCTATAGTGTGATCTGAAAGTCTTGTCACCTCCTACCAAAAAGTAATGAGAACAATAGAAGAACAAGTAATACAGTAATACAAATCACATGTATTGGATTCTGTTTATTCACTTAAATTGACGCTGTCACACATCTAGAAGGTCTCTATTCCAAACAGTAGAAAAATTAATAAAGGGATCCACTTTGTTATGTAAATTCATTGTACAGGGCGGTCCGAAAGTCTTGTCACCTACTAACAAAAAAGGAATGACAACAATAGAAGAACAACTAATATATATATATATATATATATATATATATATATATATATATATATATTATTACTTGTTAAACTCTCTTAATTAATTCCTTTGTCTGAGTTGTTTGACTTTATCACAATCTTTCTAGACTATATAAAATGAAACATACAAAGAACATGTACTGAATTCTGTTTATTCCCTTTCATTGACGCTGTCACACATCTAGAAGGTCTCTATTCCAAACAGTAGAAAAATTAATAAGGGATCCACTTTGTTATGTAAATTCATTGTACAGGGCGGTCCGAAAGTCTTGTCACCTACTAACAAAAAGGAATGACAACAATAGAAGAACAAGTAATATATATATATATATATATATATATATATATATATATATATATATATATATATATATATATATATTTATTATCTTTTTTAGTTAAAAATGAAACATCAAAGAACATTAATTAATTCCTTTGTCTGAGTTGTCACACATCGAGAATGTTTGAAACTTTATCAAATTCATTGTACAATCTTTCTAGAACAAGTATATATATAATATATATATATATATAAAATATATATATATATATATATATAATATATGAACATGTACTTAATTAAGTTTATTCATTTTCATTGACGCTGTCACACATCGAGAAGGAGGTCTCTATTCCAAACAGTAGAAAAATTAATAACGGATCCACTTTGTTATGTAAATTGATTGTACAAGGCGGTCCGAATGTCTTGTCACCCCAAAACAAAAGTAATGAGAATAATAGAATAACAAGTAATACAGTAATACAAAACACATGTATTGGATTCAATTTATTTACTTTCAGTGACGCCGTCACACATGGAGAAGGTCTGTATGAACGCCATCATTTTAGTGTCAGCTATCTGAAATAGAAAATAATGTTATGTAAGCCTAACAAGACTTACGGACCACCTTCTATTTTGATGTCCCCTCCCAAGTATTTTGTTAGAAATTCCAGTACCTAAAAGACGAAATTTTGAAAAGAAAATTCAATTCTACATTTACGATAATTTTATTTTTCCACACCTCACCTTAAAATAATTCTCACAAAACACTCTCTCTCCATCTCTCTCTCTCTCTCTCTCTCTCTCTCTCTCTCTCTCTCTATATATATATATATATATATATATGAAAAAAAATATATGGAAAAAATAAAAATCCTAATATGCAATTATGCTGTAAAAGATTTCAGTTATCTGTTTGGATTGATCTTGCTCTTATGTCCATCGACTTTTTCATGTTTAATTGAATATGGTCTAATGTTAATTATGTTTTATGAATATGTTCTAAAGATGGTCTATTAGACCGAAACGTCTGACGTTGACATTATATTAACATTAAAACACCATAATTGCATAGTAAGATTTTTGTTTGTTTTTTCTGTATATTTTTCTTCATACTGTCGGATCTATATCCATATATTTGCTTACACACAAACAAAGCAAACCAAACTTCATATCTTTATCGTTAGGACCTAATAGATATGAACTGTCATAAAAAGTTCCTAACAATTAGACACCGACGATTGTACGCATATGAAACTCTGTGGCGTACGGCTAACATAGGTAATATATATAGTTATTAATATGAACTTTATAGCTCTGTTACACGACATTGAGCACTATTTTGATTACATCAAAACTTAAATAAATATTTATTTGCTAATCTGTATATGAACGTAATCGCATGCATGTATGGTTGCTTATATCTCTTTATTTTAATGATGCATTAACCCACTAACCAATCGAGGAATGTTATGATCCTTGTTTTGTTTTGTTTTTAAATTATAAACTGTATTAAGTTTTCCTTAAATATGCAAGTACTTTCAACGGGTCCTCCGGTCATCATCAGGTATGAAAACTATTTTCTTTTTGGTAAAATTCAGTTAGCATCCGAGACGAAAAAATATAATGCAAATCGAAATATGTTTTTTTTTAAATGTGTTACTGATAGCAGATACGAACTTGTGGAGCGTGAAGACGCAGTGCTAAAGATGAATCTTTGAAAATTTAAGTGAGGGCATTTTTTTACTAATATGGCAATTTAAGATTTTTTTTTTGTAGGGTTTTATCAGTCAACATGATATGAGCTAAATAGTTCAATAACTAGAGCAATACCTCAGTTTTTTCCCGGAGGTTTGCACATCGGATCAGTTCTTTTTAAATCAAATATGTGGCAAAGTTTAATTTATATTACAATGAATCATTCATATAACAAGAAAATTAGTAATGTTAAAATTTAAAATTTAGTTAGCGAAGCGATTTAGCCATTTTATAACATTAACTTTACTAATTTAGTTTTTGTATAAATGATTCATAGTTATTAATATATATATATATATTTGAACAAATCTTTTGTTGTACAAAATTTTATAATAACAAGGAATAAGCGTAATTTAGAAGGAATTTTAATGTAAATTCTAATAGCTAAAAAAACAGTCGGTTTCGTTCCAGTCTTATCAAGTTTACTCTTGGGAATTAAAATAAGTGACGTGTAAAATAAATAGAGGATGACTAATGGGGAGAGAAAAATACAAAGAAAACTAGAGCCCAATCATTCAAACCCAGCAAACAATCCTTCTGTTTACAGAGGAAAGGCTTGTGGAATCTGATATATAAGGACTCTAGAACCTTTAGGTGGTATGAAGAATGGGACCTTGATAAGATAGAAAAACGATCCGCACTAAATCCAGAGACACAATTCCTGATATATATATATATATATGTGCGTGTGTGTGTGCGCGCGCGCGCGTGTGTGAGTGTAATCTCTTAAATGCACTATTTTATTAAAAAATACTCTTGATTCGAAAACATCTACGTTGTGCTGGCAAAATGTTACTTTTGGGCGAGAAATTGGTATATCTTGCAGCTCTGATACGCGTCTTATGCGTTTCAAAGAGTTCTCCAGACGATTGGTTCATATCATTTATCTGGTCGATATTTATCCGGTAAACCAAGTATAGATATTTACTAAATTCATTACGGTCCACGACTTCTTCAGTGTGCCATGTCTTTCCAGATCATAGGTAATCACAGCTCTCCACAACTTCCTATCATTTTTAGCTCTTATTAAGGTTTGTCATTTCGCTATCCTTCCTAATCCCTATTCGGCCAGCCATTTACACATTAGGTCGGTTACCTGTTGCTGTCCTCTGTCCCTTTTGCTTTCAGTATGCCCCGTGAGTGTCAAATTCTCTAAGCCCACTTTCTTCACTATGTATACTAAAAAAATTAACTATCTGTTATGGGGTCTTACCAATAATAATAATAATAATAATGGACTATTTTATACCTGTGTTCGCGTTCTTCTTTATTGGTTCTACCTTGGACTATCACCGTGGTACAAGGAACCGGACCATAACAAGTGGCGACGAAGATTCGAATTCATTCGGTGGAGGAAAAAATTTTTTTTTTCGCCACAGCATAACAAGTGGCGACGAGGAATCCAACTCTCTACGCGGAGGACATACTTTTCTTTTTTGCTATCCGTCGCGCATAACAAGTGGCGACGAAGAAATCCTAAAAGGGTAATAGGAAGCGTGCACAGGCTACAGAATATCAGGTT